TTTTTGAAAAGAAACCAAGAATTATTAAATATCCATTATTCTAATTATTTGATACCAAAGTTACAGTTACTTGTTTCACCTGTAAGTACTTCCACAAGTTTAAGAGTAAGTGTTAAATATTCTTATAATCAAACCAATATCAACCATTGGTTAAACCAATATTAATTATTGGCTTAATTATAAGTTATTATTATTGCTGTAAGTATTTTTCTCTGGGTTTTATCCAATTACTCAAAATGTTTAGATTTTATTCTTTAAATCTTTAATGCTCAAAATGAGCAATCTGAACTATTTTTATTCACTGCAGGCTGGAAGCTTTCTTCCTCTTTCTTCAGGAAACCTGCTCTTCCTGTTTCATAATTCTCTTTCTGTCAGACTATGATTTTTATGATTAAATAGAAAAGAGTAGAATTAAAGCAAAGTTTGCAAGACACAATAACAACACACACAACCAGATTAATTTTATTACCGTCTGACTCTACTGTTGGGTCTTGATGTCACCTGTGTAATTAGTTTTACAGATAACTTTATTTATCGTTACTATTAAACTAAAATCTCCAGCATGGGGAAGTGGGATGAACTCGACTTTTCTTGACAGGACCTAAAGAGGAGTGATCTAGAGTTATAGATCTAAAATCAATGCACAGCTTCAGTTATTACAACTGAAAACCAGCGATCAGCCCAAAACCGGGGAGCAGTGATGGACTCTGACCTGAACCTTCAGAGCCACATTAAGACAGTCACAAAGTCAGCCTTCTATCACCTGAAGAACATCTCCAGGATTAGAGGACTGATGTCTCAGCAGGATCTAGAGAAACTAGATTAACATTTATACTAAAAGTACGAGACATTTGATTAGAAGCCGTCAGTAAACTGACAGGTTTCATATTTATTTGTTGAATAAAGAGAAAATTACATTTAAATGACAGAACAGTAACATGTAAATCCAAAAATAATGAAAATGAATGGGTTACAGAGGGTTTAGAATGATCTGAATATGGAAAAACAAAGAACAATCAGAATTACATGAGCTCTGCAACAGTAGTGGAGATATATGATAACTGATTACATTTCATTAAATCACTGAAGAAAAATACATGGTTGGGAATAAATGAAGTAATTTCTACCACTGAGAACATAATCTGGATGAGATTTGAAACACTTTGATCAGGTGTGAAGTTTGCAGATTATGTCTAACTTCAGCTGGTTGTGTTCAATGCAATGATTACAACTAAGGACTGAATGTAGACAATAGATGAGATGATTAAACAAAGGAAAACAATAAAACCACAGAAAAAAGCACAGAAAACACCACTAAACCCATCTCACCCAATGACCGCTGGAGACTGGCACCAGCCACCTGAACCCCAATAACCCTTATTCAATCAACTAGCAATATATTGATCAAGTTAACAATAATCATTAAAGTTTGGCCAGAGAAAAGACAGATGCAGGTTTAATCTTTGGCCTTCAGCAGTCAAAGGAAAACAGAAGATAATGTACTTTATTGACATTGAAACTGGGAAATTATTGGGCAGCAGCAGCAGCAAGACAAGAGGAAAACAGAAAGTTTGTAGATCATGAATTCATATCTGCTGTTTAGTGAGTTAATTTTCTTTTTGTTCAGGACCAATTAAACCAATTTAAGAACCTGTTAGAGACCCAACGACCTGCTGTGCAAAAGGCAACAAATAAGAGGTCAGGGGTCTCTAATGTGGACAGAGACCTGTCCAAGGTGTACCCGCCTCTCACCCAATGACCGGCGTAGATAGGCACCTCAGAGACTGAGTTACGGATGGAGGAGCAGATAATCTTTAACTGATTTGTTGTTTCTTGTGAAGAATCTCTGTTAGTGGCCCAGGAGGTAAGAAAATATACCCAATAACTTTGTCCAGGTCATGGACTCAAATCTTTACTGGACATTTCTACATGGAGCTGGATGGTCTGTCCACATATTTTTAGGTTTCTTTCTGATAATGAAGGTTTGGATAGGAGTCGCATCTTCATATCCAAGATGTGTAAATGGTTGTTTTTTCTGAAACGGACTGGCAGCCTAGTCATTGTCTTCTGTGACTGCAGGAATTTATCAGGTCTAGCAATTAAATTTCTGAACCTTGAGAAAGTTAAATATGTTGGTCAGAAACATTTAACCTGAACTGTATCATTTCTAGTTGGTCTAATCTACCTCCATCGGCTCAACCTGGAGGATCTTTTTAAGGTATTCGTTCTCGGTCGCTGCCTCCTTAACCTTCTCCAACATCTGATCATTTCCACTTTCTATCAGATTAATCACAAACTTTTCAAATATAGTGAGCAGAGGATGGGCGTACTCAATAACGCGGTCGCTCATACCATATCCTCCTGTGTGAATCCCAAATATCTGACCATGAGCATCAAACACTGGAGAACCAGAAGCTCCGTGATACATGAAAGTGTTGTAAGCAGCCACCTTTTCTGCTTTTTCTCCACCCATCATTATATCATCAATGCCTTGGTCCTTGAGCTCATTTACTTTTTTGAGGATGACCTTTTTAACTTTGTATTTGGATAAATGATCCATGACAGCCTGTTCTCTCTTTTCTGGCTCAATGATGCATGTAGGATCAATTTTCTTCACACTTCCTGCAGGGTGTCCAATAAGACAGGCCTCTCCATTTCTAGGAAGTGGACCAAATCTGTCCAGCAGCCCTGGAGGTACTTTCACATTGTCTGGTTTGGATTTGGAGTTGGGTTTTTTACCATCGGGTTTCAGCTGAAGTACAGCAAAATCCAGCTCCATGTCAATGTCAATAAGTGTTTTCTCAGCAGAGAAGTAAAAGTAATTTGTCTCTGGCACAGGTTCGTCGTAGTTAAACAGAGCATAGACGTTTATTTGATCCAGCAGGTTCTTTCCTTGGACACACCCTCTAAACAGGTGTGCATTGGTCAGGACAAACCTGTCAAACAGCACAAAGCCTGTTCCCTCACAAATATCGTACACATTAATTTTACAGACCGATTTTCCCATGACAAGCAACTTCTTAATCCTATGAACTTCACTGAAAGACTGCTGGATCTTTCCAAACTTCTCACTCCCGCGGTTCAGAGCTTTCTCATAAGAATCACCAGGGAACCTGCTCTCCATCCATTCTTTCAGCTCTGGAAACTGCTTACGCAGAAGTTCATAAATCTCTTCAGTGGAGCAGCCGCTGTCACCTGGCTGTTCCATTGCTTTTTTAACACTTCGCCCACTGACACGAGCAACATCCAGGATGGAGGTTGTTGGGTTTTCAACACCTTCCCGTTTATTCAGTGGAAGACGTATCTTGAACGCCTTTTGGTGGAGGCTGTCGACCCTTTGTGTGCGCACAGTGAGGCGGTTGGGGTTCTCGTTATCAGACAACTTGAATTCTCCAAGACTGTCAAGGAATCGGCCATCTTGCTTCAGAGCCTCCTCCACTGTCATCCCCTTTACCCCATAAACACAGAGAAACTTGAACTGTTTGAGGATTTTGTTTCTGAACAACTCCTTGGTTTTGGTTTTCAGACCCCCAACGGTATCAATGTAGAAGACCGAATAATGGTCTTTTGGATGTATGGTTTTGTCATGCTGCTCCTGAACTTTTTCAATCTTTTCTGATGCATAGTGATATAAAATCACTGTCTCCCCATCACCAATACAAGAACAGGGGAAATGTGTTGGAACCACAGATTCCCTGTCCCGTTTACCCAACTGAATGATGATGCTCTCATCTGGATACTTTATCATCTTCTCAGTTGTGCCAAGACTGGATCTAATTGCGTCCAGGACTGTAGACGGTTGATCACAGTCGATTGTGTACTCTTTACGTTCTGTTGGAGTGAATTTTACAATGAAACGATGGGAATGTGTAACCTGTAAGAAAGCACAGGGGGGAAGTTTAACTTTGATTGTTACAGAGATTAGGTTTAACACTGGACTGTTTTAGCAGATGATAGAAACTAACCACAGAATCACTTCCATTCTCGTTCTTCACTCTCATGGGTGTTTGTGTAGGAGTCTGGGAAAAAAAGTAAAGAAAAAGGAATTGGAGTTATTTCAATCTCCCTAAATCTGTCTTGTTCAGCATGTTCATTTCTGCTTCACTTTTTACAATTGATCAGAGTTTAGGAATTTTAAGATGTCCGTCACTGACACAAATAAAAAGACAAGGGAAAAACAGATGAGTGGTTGTGTTTCCATTGACCATGTAATTGCGCAATGTGACATTTTGAAAATAATGTTTCGGCAGGAGGGTGAGGTGGTTTTTTCAGCCAAATCAAAATTGGTTTATTTCACAAAACTGGAATAGAAAGTTTTTCTGCATCATGGAGTCACATGATCAACAACCAGATGAGAAGCACTACCCGGAAACAGAGCCGTACTTTTGGCAAAACAGAGTTTTACAAAGTATTAAAGGCAACAATGGTGAACCTCTCTTCTCCCCACATGTAGATAAACTTATTTTTAAATGTTTTCAATAATCAGTGTCAGATTACACAACAGTATTAAACATCTTCACAAAGAATACCAAGAATTAGTTCATTTTTGTAAATATGTGCTTGCATTTATACACACAGGATGTTTGCAGCAGGTGTGCATCATAAGATGGCAAACAACGCCTAACGACCTTCTTATCTTTGTCCTGAATACAATAACCAGACATGGCACAGGATGTTCATAAAAATGGACACTTTGAGGTACCACCACATTAAGATGACTGGGACTGAACTCCTCCTGCGTTTCCATAGATACAGGTAAACCACTGGATTTTTTTATTTATGATTTGGTCATGATTGCCCAGTTGGAACAACAAAGGGAGGAAATAAAAGACCTGCATAATACAATGCAGCCAAGTTCAGTTTATTAAGTCATGTTAAAAAGTTAGGAGGTGCATAATATT